CTATCTATCTATCTATCTATCTATCTATCTATCTATCTATCTATATATATATATATATATATATATATATATATATATTAGTTTTAAGGTGTGCTAGAAGGTAGAATTGCTCAATATCAGTGATAAAGCGTATATAAACATAAGACACTGATGTCAACACTTAGCGGCGACAGTCTTTTTTATAGTTGGACAATTTTTTCAGGCCACACACACAAACACACAAAGATTTCTGTAACAAACTCAATGCAAGCATTTTACAACATGGCAAATAGAGAATTTCAAAATAACAGCAAATTATTTGCTGTGAACACTCTTCTCAGCTCAGGATCTCGTCAAACACAATAAATGTACAAGAAAATAGAAATCGGCATATGTAAAATACAGAAACAGCGATAATATATATATATATATATATATATATATATATATATATATATAAAGCTTTCCCTGACGATCCGTTTAGGTGAAACCTAGGTAAGTTTGTCTGGCTCACTAGGTGTATCTAGGTCTCCTTTACGATTGTATTGAGCTCTTTTGTTAGTTGTTACTCGTATCGGGGTTTTTTCTTTGGGCTTCAGACCTGCATCTGTGCGATTTTTTGTCGGCAGAAGTTCATGTTTGTAGCTCTTTCTTTTTTTAAAACCTTTTTTCCCCTCGAAATTGATTTGATTAACAAATCAAAAATTCGAGGGTTTTTCGAAACGAGTCTAGTTATTTATATTTTATGTATATATATATATATATATATATATATATATATATATATATATATATATATATATATATATATATATATATATATATATATATATATATATATGTATATATAATCTTCATCAGGTAAACTTCTGTCTCCTATTCTTGGGTTTGGAAAAAGAAATCTAAATTATAGTTGCACTTACTTACGCACGTTATATTTTTACTGTAGTTCAACTGTAAGATAGGTGGTACCATTTTTGAATAATTGGAGTTTTTTGCGGCCTTAAAAATGTTTAGACTGTTCGTAATTGTCTCTGAAATACAGCTGCTAATGGAAATCGGTAGTGTATGCACATTCTTTCAAAACTGATTACAGAAAAATGTATGTTTGTGATTACATTTAATAATCTGATTTGAGAAAATACTGTATCTGTTCTGAGACAGGTTTTCCGGTCGACACACTAGCGTTTGTTTGTTTGTTGTTTTTTTATTCATAAGATATGTTGTTTAAAATGTCATGTACCTTCAACATGATGAGTCTCTTGTTCATCTCGAGGTCCTCTCCAAAATGCAGACTTTGGGTTCAACACCGAGCGGCGACCGTCTTTTTTATGCTTGAACACATTCCTCAGACCACACACACAAAATCTTCATTATGACCAAGGTTTTGATCATTCAAACAGTTGATGACGCTGGATAATCTACTCTATCCTGTAAAATGACTAATTCTCCCACAACATAGTTGTATTACAAACTAGAGCTGCCCACTGTTGTTTTTTAATAAACAGAACAAGGCTAAGCATGCAACAGGGATTGTCTACCTGTCCTATCAGACAGGCGTAATCTGAAACGTAAGGCCAGTCATTATATATATATATATATATATATATATATATATATATATATAGATAGATAGATAGATAGATAGATAGATAGATAGATAGATAGAACAGTCTGAACAATGTATATATTGTAAATACACTACTCTAAAGAAAGGTTAAAATTACCTACTTAAGACATAACATACTTCGAAAGGATCCAATTATTGTTGTGTATTTCTTAAGTACGTTTGTCCTTGCAGTGAACACTGTCGCCATATATGGTCTGGTGCCCCCTCTGTTCATCTCTATGTCCTCGACAAAATTCAGACTGATATGCAATGTTATAGGTCCTTTTCTGGTATCTCGTCTACAGTCACTTTCTCAAAGACGTACTGTGGCTTCCCGCTCTCTTTTCTACAAATATTTTCACGTCAACTGTTCTAACGAGCTATTTTCATTGGTACCCAAACTGCATGCTATTCAACACTCTCTCCAGTGTGAACAGCAGCCGTGGAGGAAGCAATTTTCCCGACCCCTGCGCTAATCTTCACACTCAGCACCGCTTGCGACAGCAGTTAAAAATGCATTTATCCTAAGGATCTCTTCGGGTTCCGTTGTTTGAGTAGCATTTTCGGACAATCTCAATGCACTCTCCAGCAAGCACTCATTAACACCCCTTCTTTTGTCAGCCGAGACAGCCTCTGTTGTATGACGAAGGCGTGTTCTTTTCTTGGGTGGCATGGCGTTAGTATTGAAGTATATTTAAATTGCAATTTTACAAAATGCGCAAAATTTGACAGTGAAAATCAATTTGGTACGACTTATAAAAAGTTAACCTACTTAACGTATTATTGAACAAAATTTGAAGCAAGGAAAGTGCAATCATTTGGACTTTGCTAAACAGACGCTTCTAAGTGGTACAGCGCGTCAGATCAAATGAGAGTTCCGTGTAGGAAACAAGTTCGATTCCTGCCGGAGAA